CTCCGGCTGTTTGCTATCGTAACCGGCTAAATTTAGCCGGAAAACGGCTAAAATGGCAACACTGATCAGTACCTGGGTTCAAGCCCTGGTCAAAGCAACATCGAAAAAATATAGAAAAAGTTTTTTTTTTAACAGCGGTCGTCCCTCGGCATGCAATGACAAACATCCAAGTGTATTTTTGCCATGAAAAACAGCTTCACATTAAAATACAATCGCCGTTCGGAGTCGGCGTAAAACTGTAGGGCCTTCTGCTTTGTATGACAACAGCAAGGCGCACGCCACAAGTTGGAGGAGAAGCTCGGCCAAACACTAACATATGTGTAAGCGCCAATCTATTATTATTATTATTAAGTGATTTTTACACCTTTCTTGTTTGCTTGCTTGGTAACTATCATTTTTCACTTTTTTAAGGTCGCATACCTGGAAGGCGTGGCGACGAAACAGGACGTCCTGCAACAGTAGATGTTGAAGTTGTGTTAGAGGAAGTGGAACTAGGTCCATCGACTTCAGTGAGAACGATGGAAAGACGGACGAGAATACCAAAAACTACAGTTCACAAAGCTTTAAAAGACCATCGATTTCATCCCTCCCACATTCAACGTGTTCAAGCTTACAACAAAGAGATTACCTGCCGAGGGTTAGATTTTGTCGTGAAATGTTGCGAATGCATGAATCAGACCCCAACTTTTTTAATAAAATAATTTGGAGCGGTGAATCATCATACAAACGTGATGGTTATTTTAATTTACATAACATTCATAGTTGGCAGATAGACAATCCTCACGAAATGAGAGAAGATCGTTCGCAGTACCGGTACAAAATAAATTTATGGTGCGGTATTTTTAATTGTCAGATATTGGGACCTGTGGAACTGCCGCCAACGCTCAACTCTCACAGTTATTTAGAGCTCCTTCAGGAACGGCTTCCAACTCTTTTAGAAGATTTACCCTTAAACCTACGGCGAAGACTATGGCTGCAAATTGACGGGTGCCCTGCTCACTACGGGCGTGAAGTAAGAGCTCATTTAGACGAAACTTATCCTNTTTACCCTTAAACCTACGGCGAAGACTATGGCTGCAAATTGACGGGTGCCCTGCTCACTACGGGCGTGAAGTAAGAGCTTATTTAGACGGAACTTATCCTCGCCGATGGATTGGACGATACGGGCCAATCATGTGACCCGCTCGATCGGCAGACCTGAATCCATTAGATTTTTTCTACTGGGGCTATCTTAAGAACAAAATTTACTCAAAAACAATTCCAAACGAAGAGCATTTGCGGGAACAAATAAATGGAGCTGCTGCTGAGATAGCCCAATTGAGTTTAAGATCTCTAAAAGCGTATTTTCTTAAAAGGTGCCGAGCTTGTATTAGAGTAGAAGGCCGCCAATTTGAGCATAATCTATTAATAAATGAATATATTTTTCTTCAAACAACCCATGTATATTTTATTTCACGTGAACCCATCCTTCACAAAAAAATATTGATAGATTTAGCCCTTGTTATAGACTCTAGTCCGAATTCCGGTAAGTAACATAAAATAATGTCAGGAGCAGGTAATAATGTACCTTTGTACTATTTAGCATGTCATTGGTCGGTAAAAAGAGTAACTTAAATTTAAATTTTTTAAATACATTTAGTTAAATAAAGAGTTAATAAAACAAATGTTCTGTTGTCAAACGTGACCGGACCGTCTCGTTGCTCGCACAAAATATGACTTAACTCTATGTTCTTACTCTCTATTCTTAACGGTAGTTATGATGGACGTTTCGTTCTTTTTCATTCACTTCCAAGGTTGCCGATTATCTGTCCTGCTTAAGGTTGCCGTCTATGATACTATCTTATGGTTATCCTACAACCGGCCCGCCTGATTTGTTATTCGACCTCGAATAACCAGCCGCATCTCTTCATATTCTCTGCCACCGTTACAGTCTTGCTCGGTCCTTCCTGACTTCCAACCTTTTCTACTTCGTATCTTCCGTGATTTCGTTTGGCAACTACTTTATACGGTTCGAGACACTTTGCCCTTAGTTTCAGTGCAACTCCGAATTGTGTTCTTTTAATAGCAACTAACTCGTTTATTTCATACTAAACTTCTTCCTTCCGTCTCTTGTTATATGTCTTGCAGTTTTCTCTCTGTATCTCAACTATATTTTCGCGAGCTTTCTGTCTTGCAGCATCCCGCCCCTTGTCTAACTCTTCTACCTCTAGCTCATTTAAAATTTCCTGTAAGTCGGGGTAATCTGGTCTGCGCATTTCCAACCCTGTAAGGATTTTAAAGGGTGTTGTTTTCGTACTGCCGGGTGCTGTATTATTAAGAACCTGTTGCACTCTCGCCTCCTGATTGTACCACTGAGCTGGGTCACTCTGACAATTTTTTGCAAGCATTGGAACAACAGTTTGATGTACGCGCTCTACCTGCCGGTTTCCGCGCGGAACGCCTGTTGCTTTTACTAAATGCTGAATATTTTCTTGGTTGCAGTATTCCTCAAACCTATTTAAAGTGAAAGCCACCCCTCTATCTGTGTCTACCCGCTTCGGCTTTCCGAAGACGGCAGACTGCTTTTCTAGTTTGTCCACCACTTCTTCAACCCCTGTTGATTTTGTGGGGTGTAACCACACAAATTTTGAAAATCCGTCTATAATTACCAAAATTTGGTTGTATATTTTCCGCGTTTCTGTTAACGGACCAACGTGGTCAATATGATAAGTCCCTAAAGGCTCGAAAGCTTTGTCAATTGGTGTTAACAAACCCTCTTTCTTGCCCCTTTTTGCCTCTATTATTATGCACTCTATACATGCTTGAACAACTTTCCGTACCTTTCCGCTAACATTAGGTATGTAGTAATTTCTCTCCACAAGTTTCTGAGTCTTTTTGGCAGCAAAATGCGCTTGAATATGCGCCAACCTAATGATTTCGTCTTCCATTCTGGAGGGTACAACTAGCAATTCCTGGACTGGATCCTTGTAAACTAGTTCGTTCTTCAGAAAAATATTTTCGTAACCTTCGGCTTCCACAATCTTTCTCACTGCCCTTACCCAACCGTCTTTCATTTGTGCTTCTCTTAGTATAAACTTTAACTTCTCTTCTACTAACAGGCAATAAACCCGACTTAGTGCGTCTACGTGTCTCATACGTGTTCCTGATCTATGCTCAACTACATAATCATACTCCTGCAAATACATAGCCCACCCCATAATTCTATCCGGCACATCATGTTTTTTAACTGTCATTTTGAATGCGTTGCAGTCACTTACAATTTTGAATTTGATGTCTCTCAAATATATACACCACTTCTTCAAAGCATTTATTAATGCCAAAACCTCGTGCTCAAGCGAGCTGTAGCTCTCTTCAACCAACGAAGTTTTACGACCAATAAACTCTACGGGATGCAGCATCTGATCTTCCGGATATTTTTGCAATAAAACTGCACCATACCCAAATTTTGATGAATCCGCATGTAGCTCTGTCTCTGCCGAATGATTAAAATGCCTTACTGCTGGTGCACTCACTAACGCACGCTTCAACTCCTGAACTGCCAGTAATTGTTCCTCACCCATTTTAAACTTTACATCCTTTCGCAGCAAATCGGAAAGTGGTTAAGCAACCACAGCATATCACTGCACGAACCGTCTAAAAAATGAGATCAAACCCAAAAATCGTTGTAGTTCCTTCTTAATTATTGGAATCGGGAAACTACTAATCGCGGTCGTCTTTTCCTCGGGTGGTAGAATTTTACCCTTCTCTACGATATACCCTAAAAAGTTAATCTGCGATTTCAATATTTGACTTTTTCCCATCCTAATTGCAACCCGCAGTCGCTCGCACGCTTTACAACTTTTTCCAATTTCTCTAGACCTGTTTTCCTTTCCTTGGCGGGAATGACGATGTCATCCATATATATAATAACAGTTCCGTCTCTAAGCATGTCCTGAAAAATCGCTCGGATATATCGGCAAAATACCGCTGGAGAATTCGTGATCCCGAATGGGACATAACAAAACTCGTACTGTCCGCTTTGCGTCACAAAAGAAGTGTATTTACGTGAGTCCGGTTCTACTGGTACGTGATAAAATACGTTTTTTTAAGTCAAGTGTGGTAAATATGTTTGCACCCTGCAACTTATCCAACGCTTCATCTACCAAAGCCATTGGAAAATTATCCCTAAAAATCTTTTCGTGAACTTTCCGAAAATCGCAACCAAACCGTTTCGTCTCGTTTTTCTTTGTGGTCAGCACAACTGGTGATGCGTACTCAGACGTGCTATTTTGTATAATTCCTTTGTTAAGCATGCTAGCTACCAGGTCGTCTATATAGCGCCGATCCGCATGTGACACCCTACGCGGTCTCTGGTGTACTGGATTATCGCCCGTTAAAATCAGTTTCATCTGCATCGGTGTACTAACTGGTTTCATTGGACTATATTCATTAATCAGTTTCGCTACCGCCTTTGATTCACATTCCCCTAAATGCGCGAGATCCACTTTATTCTATTCAATGTTCACTTCCCTTTCAATTAAGCATAATGCTTCAAATTCTATATTCAAGTCGCTGTTACGCGTTACTTCATGTGTTTCTGCGATTCTGTTCTATAACCCTTTACCAGCTCTTACGCATGATGTATCTTTGGTATCTCCTGTTTGTTTACTGAAAACCTTACTCTGATCATCAATAGGACGACTTGCCTTGGCGTGGACTGACACAACCACTTCCGCACCAACACATGAGCTCTGCGCACCTACTGTAGCCATCCCAGCTACAACTTTCTCCACTGCCATCTCAGCAGTTTTCGTTGGTTTCCTGAACTCAACGCTACCTTCCCTAAAGACTAACTCCACGTCTTTAAGCACATCATTACCAATCATCGCCGCATATGGTATATCGCGTTCCTTTACCACCTGAAACGTTACTCTTAACAACACTTCATCAACAGTCATGTTGGCTACAAAGCTACCTAATGTCGTCATCTCGCCCTTACCAATTTCAAACAAATGTTGCCTCTCATCGCTAAGTTCTACATCCCCCAACATTATCAATGTATCGTACCTCATGATAAATGCGCTGCACCCAGTATCTACCAATACACTGAAAACAAAGTTATTGATTTTCGCGTCAATAAAAATCATACCGCTTTTTCCTGCGGGCTTCATATTTTTGTCACCTAACGTATTCACACGTTCACTTTTTACTACTTTGTCAGTTTGCTCCTTTTTGCATTCATGAGCGTACTGGCCTTTTTGTTTACACTTGTAACACGTAACAGTGTTTGTACCAGAATCTGAACATTGCTTTGCCACATGGCCTTCTTTATAGCATTTAAAACACTTTTTCTTGTTTTGCCTTTTGTAATCCGAACTCTTACCCGAAAATTCTTGAGGCGCACTTCCTTTATTTAGCGATACCTGAGAACCCCTAATTTACTCATACACGTGAATTAGTTCTTTCAAATCTTTAATATTCTTCGGCTGGTACAAAACGCTTTTATTCGCCCTAGAATCCGGTATGCCCTCTATAATAATACTCAACCAAACTCTTTTCATCTAATGATATTTGCTTACCCATTTCCAACAGGGCATACAAATACTCTTGGAAACTTTATTTTGGTTGCTTGCGTCTATTTCTCAATCCTCGGTGCACTTCCGAAGCACACAGTTTTTTCCCAAACTCTTCGATAAGAGCTTGTTTCAAATTATCCCAACTCCTAACGCGTGCCAACCCACGTACAAATAATTTTGCTGCTCCTTTTTGTAGCTGCTGGGCATACACAAACCTTTGCAGGTTATTCCAACCTACTGTGTCAGACACTTTCACATCATAAGCCTCGTCACCAAAAAATTGAGACACACTGTTTTCAATATCACGCAACGTAAAAAAAAGCCTTTGCGCATTCAAATTATTTGTTGCTGCATCTGCGTACAACGAATTTATCGATTCCTTCTCACTGCCTAGTCCCCTTTCAGACACGTCAAGTCTTGCTTTCTAGTCTGCTCGTTCGTAGGCGAAGGAGGTGAGAAGAAAGGGGAAGAGTACAGATACCTCCGTACCGTCAATTCGTTTCAAGTTTTCTTGTCTCTTTTGATCTTTTCGTTGCTTCCCATTTAAAGAACCAAGGACCTGAATTCAATTAAAGTTGACGCGTGTGGAGGCAAATAGAAAACACAAAAGAGAATGCGAAAAAATTGCTTTCAAGACTTGACGTGTCTGAAATGGGACCTACTTCTTCCTCACTTTCAACCCCAAAGACAACATGCTGAAGCAAACGCAGTTGCAAATCTCTTTTTCTACCTGCTACGCTCAAATTAAGTTCTCTTAACTTTGTTTTTAACATCTCTACAGTCATGGCTACGGTGACCATAAATATATAATGCAGGACAATTTTTCAAAAAATGTACCTACTTGTAATTGCGTAGTATAAAAATAACAAAAATATACTACATATATACATTTCTCGTCATTTGAAAAGCGCACCCTTTTTTTGATTTTCTACCATACAAAGTATGCTTGCGCAGCACCGTAAAAAAAAATTGTCGCCCCTATGTTTATATTTTTTTTTATATTCAAATATTTTTTAAATGGGATGTAGACGTAGAATATCCTATATTTTTATGAAAAGTTAATGAATATTAAACAAACTAAAGGAAAACTGTACCTACTAAGTATTAAAAGGATGCGCTATTCAAATAACGAAGAGTGTATAATTCTTAATTATTAATCCAATTTTAAACTTTAAACTTAAAACATAATCACATTTGCTTCATTGGTATTAATCTTTTAGTAATGAATATTTACAAAATTATAATAAGGCATATTACATATTACTTTACACGAAATATGAACCTCTGTAAAGCAAATTTTTTAGGCAAACTGGTCGTTGGGTCGTTGAACACGAAAAAAATACCCATGGCTTCAAAGAAGTGTTTTCGAGATTTGTTCGAAAGACATATTTTTAGTACTTTTTCAGTTATTCCTCAATATCTCATGAAACGACCAACAGTTCGACAGGTATTGATGGGCTCTTTGCAAAAATATATTTTTTTTGTGCAGATTGTGTTCCGTAACATCTACATTTCTCATCAGATTTTCATTTACTGTAAAAAGAAAATGATTGAAATTTCAATTTTTCGATTTTGGTCGCTTGTAACACCAATAATTTTCATCGAAATCGGCAAAGTAGTATATTTTTGTAAGTGGACTGTAGGTAGCTTATGTTGATTGGATAATTGACGAATACGTTCGACATGTACCAAAAAATTACGAAAACGATTTTTTGAAAGGAAAATTGGCTTGGAAAATTTTTTTTTCTTGAGCGATTACCACAAAATTTTTAGAACAGTGTTATCGATATATTTGATGCTGGTCTTCAATTTCTCGTCATCCATTGTCCATAACCGTACAATATTTAGAACGCATTGACTAGTTGAACCTTCAAAACCAGCTTACCCTTATGTAGTTATCAATTAGTTATCGACACAGCTTTTATTTCGATTAGAAAAAGTTAATTTTAAAATATCGAAGAAAATGCGGGACAAAGGCAGGACACGTGGAAAAAATCAGTACCTTTTGGGGGTTTTCTGTTTTGAAAAACTACGCAGGATAGACCTTTAAATAACAGTACGGTCCTGCAAAAAACAGAACGGATGGTCACCGTAGTCATGGCTCTTATTGTGTCCGCGTCCATCTTACAAGTTTTTATGTTATTGCGATATACAAAATCAATTACTATTAAGTGTCAAAGCAATTCAATCAATTAGACAATTTAAATTAATGCTATACATTTAAAATTTTAGTTTTCGCTTAACTTTTGCACATTTTTCCCCAAAATTACAAAATATTTATGACACTATTATTAAAATAATAAGTAATATCAAATACACGCTACTGTACTATGCAAAGAAAATCAAATACAACGTGAGCAAAGAAATTTTGTGCTTACTGCTCTTACTGCTACACTGCTGCTATTACATTGCTTCGTCCTATTTTTGCTGCTTACCGCTGCTACCCACGCCGAGAAATTTTACCGTTTCAAAATTTGAAATGTGGCATACATATTTACACATTTTTGCCCATAGAATGCCGAACTGTACATATACGTACATACATATATGTCTTTTTTGCAGCAACCAAGTTTTTATGCAAATTTTGAAATGCACACTATTGTCACTGCAGTTCACTTCTTTCGTTTTTCCACTCGTATGGCTCTGTACTTTGCTATACTTGTTATTGCATGTTCTTTAATGTTCATGCTCTGCACCAAAAATATTTGGTTTTCCACAAATGTTTCTGCGCTTTACTGCACTTTTTTATGCATATCCATGCACTTCACTAAATAATTTTTATTTAGCCACATAAGCGTTTGTTACTTGCAGCACTATATATACTGTGCTTTTCATCGGTTTGGCTACCGAAGGCGCCTGTTCGTACATCAGCCGCATACGCACTTAAAATTCTCGGAAACACAAATTTGACAGTTCATGCGCACATACAATTTTAGGTTTTTCTTATTTTTGAAGTGAAACTTCTTAGGCGGCGGTATCGCAAAAATGGAGAGTGAAATTTTTAAAACTGAAAACGTTACATGAGTGAGAAGGAAGATATAGGTAGTATAGGGAAGGGGAAAAAATAAATAAAGCGACGCATGACGGGTACGAGTACCTACATATGTATATATGTATGTTTGAATGCACGTACATATGTATACATATATATCGTCGTTTAAAGTACAAAACCGCGTATCGTCATTCAAAACCGCGTAACTGACATTGGCTGCCAAAAATTGGATTTGCTCACACAAGCTCTTGGCTCAATCCTTATCCATTCGTCCTGAAATATATTAGCCAGAAATGCGATTGCCTTATAAAAAGAGAACCATTTTGAAATATGAGTGTTTTTACGCTCTAGAAAATAATTTCTACAACTTCACATACGCGGTTTTGCATTTTGCTGATACGCGGTTTTGCACAACGATATGTATGAATGAACGAACTCATTGCGCATTTCAGCTCTGCCGCTACCATGCAATATATGTATAAATGATGCAAGCGTGCTTCGCGTAACTACATCCATTCGTACATATGTACATATGTTTGTATGGATATATTTATGATGAAGCAAACGGGCTTCGTTGATGACTGATGGGCATATGTATGTACTTATGGACAGCAATGTTTTCATGTATGTACATATGTTAGAATGGTTGTATATACATTTGTACGTATGTAGATATGTTTGTGTATGGACATATGTTTGTGTACATGTATATATGTATGCACATATGTAGTACAAACGAAAACAAATCTAATAATACAATGTTCTGACCGACAACGAAAACACCTTGAAAACGAGTTTTGGGATTGTGGGCTGAAGGCTATTCACACCGACTGTTGGTGGTTTCGTTGACATTTCTTACATCCTTTGTTTACAGTTTTGCTGCACAAATACAAAACCAAAATACTTTTCCTTCAATTTCTTTTCAATAACAACCTTTTACTTCCATGCTTATTTTATTTTGGTCAGCCAATTAGCAATAAATCCGAAATGGCGTATTAAAGATGATAAAATATGACTTCCACTTCGATAAATTATCAAAAAAAAACTAGTGCAGACACCGATTGGAATGAGTGGAACGTGAGTTTTCAAGTGGTTTTCAGCGAAAACTTGTTTTCGTTTGACAGATTTTACATTGACGAAAACACAAGTTTTAGGTCGAAAACAGTTTTAGCAACAATCCCATACCATTCATTCCAAATAGTTTACGAAAAACCGTGTTTGTTATGCTACATGGAATTACGCATCCTGGTACGAGGGCAACACGTCGATTAATTGTCAAAAAGTATTATTGGCCAAGTATGAACAAGGAAATAAACTTATGGTCTAAAGAATGTATTGATTGTCAGTCTAAAATTTTTCGTCAAACTAAGTCTCCAGTTAAAAAAATTAC